GTATCCGCTGGCTGACACACACCTGTGCCTTGCGTTTTGCGCCTCAATCGGCCGAAGTCATTCGCAACGAACTTATGCACGTCCAAGCGAGCATCGTCCTAGACCAGCGGACACAACGACGATATGTTATCCCAGCTAAACCCACTAAACTCGCTACCATGCTTTACAAAATTGTCGGCAAACGCCTTAGCGATACCCCCTTTGAAATTTTTGAAAATTACCCAATAACAGCAAATGTGTAGTGCCTAACGAAAAATAGGTATCCCTAATAATCAACAGTTTATTTAAATTGACCGATGAAGTCGGGAATTGTAGCTCGACATCATCTAATGAGTCGAAATAATGGGTATTTTCTTTAGAAGCTATAGGACCAACAAATCAACATATTCATTTACGGGCATTGCTTCAAATTTTGCTTGATCGAGTGAGGCTTTTAAAATTAACCCTTGTTGTTTTTCTGAAAAGCGGTGCGACAAATGATGTTTGAATTTTTCTAGTAATTTTGGCATCCCTTCTTTGCGACGGCGGATGTGTCCTAACGGAAATTCGACCACCACTTCTTTCAAAACACTTCCGTCGTCAAGCTCTACCGTTAATGCATTGGCAATAGAACGTTTTTTGGGGTCGTGATAATCGGCTGTAAAGAGTTTATCTTCAATGCAGCGCATTTTGCTACGTAATCGATCAATTCTAGGGTCACTGGCAACAGAATCTTCAAAATCCGTACTCGACAAACGTCCAAAAATTAAAGGGATAGCAACAAGATATTGTATACAATGCCCACGATCAGAACGATTATTCAATGGACCCTTTTTGTCAATGATACGAAGAACAGCATCGTGCGTACGGATAGTGACTCTTTTAATTTGATCACTCGTTTTTCCGGATTTTTTGAGCTGCTCATGCAAGATCAAGGCCGCTTCAACTGCTGTTTGAGCATGAAATTCAGATGGATAAGATACTTTAAAAAGAATGTTCTCCAAGACATACGAACCGTATGGGCGCTGAAACAACAAGGGTTTACCCTTAAATAAAGCGTCATAAAACCCCCAGTCTTTTGCTGTTAATGCCGATGGATAGCCCATCTCCCCTGTTTTGGCAATGAAAGCCAAGCGCACTGCCCTACTCGCTGCATCTCCGGCTGCCCACGACTGACGGCTACCCGTATTGGGTGCTTGCCGGTAGATTCGTAATGCGTGTCCGTCTATCCAAGCTAACGACACGGCATTAATCATTTCGTCACGGGTCAAACCTAACAATTGTGCTACCACTGCCGTTGTGGCAACCTTAACTAACACAACGTGATCAAGGCCAACTTGATTAAAAGCATTCTCAAGGGCGATACAACCTTGAATTTCATAAGCTTTAATCATCGCCGTTAAAACCACTTTCATCGTGAGGGGTTTTTTACCAGACGCTAGCGCTTGGCGGCTAAGCCAATCGGCCACCGACAAAATTCCACCAATATTATCAGAAGGATGGCCCCACTCTTCCGCTAACCAAGTATCATTGTAGTCTAGCCAGCGTATCATGGTACTCAAATTAAAAGCAGCTTGTATCGGATCTAAAACAAATGAGGTGCCAGGGACTCGTGCACCATTTACCACCACAACACCAGGTACTACCGAACCTAAAAGTTTCGTGCACTCTGGATGTAACAACGCTTCAATCCCACAACCCAAAGCATCGAGCAGACAATACCGCGCCGTATCGTAAGAAGATTTACGTACTACACGATATTTAATAATGTAATCAATAATATCGACCAGAACTTTGTCTGGTTTAGGACGAAGATTTGAAATATGTGCTGGCAACTGCGACTCCTGACGTAAATAAAATCTTTGAAACCCAAAATTTGTCGAAGGACAGTCCTATGAAAAACCGTTCTACTATAAAATAGGCAGATGATATATTAAAATTTATTCATCAGCCCTACCCCCATTTGGGTTCAATTGTGTATAGAAAACAATTATCAAGCCATTACAAATTGCCATGTCAATGATCTGACAAAATTCCAAAAATTGGCTAATAATGATGTTTAACTCAAATTTTTCATTAAACACATAAAGCAAAATAAAATCAATATGTTGTTCTAATGCCTGCCATGAGAAATTTTCTTTGCCTATCAATGAACTCAGCTTCTAATGGAAAATCTGGGTTTAATCCCCTAAATTCGCCAACATTTCGGCCTGATGCTCTGATGATAATGCGGTTAACAACTCATCTAAATCTCCATCCATAATAAAATCTAGCTTATATAGTGTCAAATTAATACGATGATCGGTCATGCGTCCTTGAGGAAAATTGTAAGTCCGGATTCTTTCACTCCGATCGCCAGAACCAATCAAGCTTTTACGTGTTGCCGCTTGAGAGGCTTGCTGCTCACGAATTTGCTTGTCTTTTAGGCGGGTTGCCAGCACTTTCATCGCACGATCTTTATTTTTGTGTTGTGAACGCTCGTCCTGACATTCGACCACGATCCCTGTTGGCAAATGCGTTAAACGCACAGCCGACTCTGTTTTGTTAACATGTTGCCCTCCTGCACCTGAAGCACGAAAAACATCCACTCTTAAATCATCACTATTAATTTGAATATCATCGAGTTCATCAGCTTCTGGCATCACAGCAACGGTGCAAGCCGAAGTATGAACGCGTCCTTGGGTTTCTGTTTCGGGAACACGTTGCACACGATGCCCTCCCGATTCAAACTTGAGTCGCGAATAGGCTCCAAGACCCGCAATCCGAATAATGACCTCTTTGTATCCCCCTAAATCGGAGCCGGATTCACTCATGTATTCTACCTGCCAGCGCAGACGCTCTGCATAACGCATATACATCCTTAATAAATCCCCCGCAAACAAAGCACTTTCATCCCCACCTGTACCCGCACGAATTTCTAAAATTACATTTTTGTCATCATTAGGATCTTTAGGTAGGAGTTCCTTTTGCAAATCCAATGTAATCTGCTCCATCCTCGTTTTTACAAATACGATTTCTTCTTGTGCAAATTCATAAAGTTGATCATCATTGGCCATTTCTAAGGCGGTTTCTAGGTCATTTTCCGCTTGGCAATAGGCTTCATACAGAGCAACAACAGGGGTTAACTCCGCGTGCTCACGCCCAAGTTTCCGAAATTGATCCAAATCAGCGGTTGCATCTTCGCGAGCCAAGAGGGAATTCACCTCAGTTAGACGGGTTTGTAATTGCGCCAACTTAGAGCGCATACTCGATTTCATAATAAATATTCCACCTATAAAATATGGCACATCAGTTGATACTACAAATGGCGAAAAAACTTTTCATACAAAGCTTTGAGGGCTTCGCGCTCATGAGCATCGGCTCTGCCCAATTCTGCGACTAAACCATGGATTAATTTATTGGTCAGGTTTTTAGAGAGCACATCTAGGCACCGCGCCATATCCTCTTTGTTAAGATTTTTTTGTGCTTTTTCGAGCTCAGACAAACGAACTTGCTCGATTTTTTCCATTAATTCACGAGTATAGTTACCAGACTGACGAGATTCAAACCACGTGAGCCATTCTGCGCCATGTCGCATCACAATCTCGCGTGCTCCGGCCAAGGCTTTTGTGCGACTCTCAAGATTGCCTTGAATCAGCGAGCCTAAATCATCAACGGTGTAAAGATAAACATCATTGAGGCGGCGCACCTGCTCATCAACATCGCGTGGCACGGCCAAATCGACAAACATCATCGGCTTAAATTGACGACGTTTCAACGCCGCCTCTACCATGGCATAACTGATCAAAGTCGCATCGGCTGCTGTAGAGGAAACCACCAAATCGACCATAGGCAAAACTTGAGCAATAGCCTCTAAGCTCACTAATGTGACTTGAAGTGATGGGGCCCAGTTTTCCACTAATAATTGGGCATTGTTACGGCTTCGATTCGCAACATAAATGGTTTTCGGTTTTAAAGGCACTAAATAGTTCGCACAATGTTCAATCATTTCTCCTGCGCCAACAAATAGCAACGAAACCTCCTGCATATCCCCAAAAATTTTGTTGGACAACCTTGCGACCATACTGGGCATAGAAACGACTTGTGAACCAATCAAGGTCGAACTGCGTACTTCTTTTGCTGCACGAAAGCTGCGCTGAAATAATTGTTGTAGATGTGTGGATACCGTCCCCATTTTTTCCGCATCAAATAAGGCCTCTTTGATTTGACCTGAAATTTGTGTTTCGCCCAACACCATAGACTCCATCCCTGATGCCACTTGGAACAAATGTTGCGCCGCTAGGTGATTTTGGTAACTGTATAAGTAAGATTCTACTTCTGCAGAAGACAACTGTGCATAATGTGCTAAAAATTGTGTCGCCACCTGTGTTACATTGGTTACAGGGCTAGCCACATATAATTCTGTACGGTTGCAAGTGGACAAAATCACACACTCTACGCTTTGTGGATGCGCCAAACCAACACCAAGCATTTGTTTTAATTTAGTTAATGCTTCTGGAAGTTGATCCCGCGTGAAGGCCACTCGCTCTCGAAACGAAAGCGAAGCACGATGATGATCCACACCAATGGCAAAAACATGCATAAATCAAAGCCAATTTAGATAATCCGCCATTATAACGTGCTTTGCAGAGAAGGTAAAACGTTGTGTTGCTCCCCCACTGATGACTTCTAATGACTTCTTATGGCAAAAGTCACGGGGATCCATCGCTTTCTTATATTTGAAACGACTCATGATTTCCATTGAAAGAGATCGCACGTTGCACACAGATCCTTAATTTACGCTATCCCACTGATATTTATAAACTCATTTTAAGCGTTCCATTAAAACGACACGGACTACCGAATTCATACGCGTTTCCGTTACAATAGCCATTATTCACCATAGGAGTAAAAACAATGACTTTTCCTGCACAAATTAAAATTCCAGCCACCTATATGCGAGGTGGCACCAGCAAAGGGGTGTTTTTTAAGCTCGCCGATTTACCGCTGGCGGCACAAAAGGCAGGGGCTGCGCGAGATGCCTTATTATTGCGAGTCATCGGCAGCCCTGACCCTTATGGCAAACAAATTGATGGTATGGGTGGCGCGACTTCTTCAACCAGTAAAACAGTGATTTTATCCAAAAGTATGGTTGAAAATCATGATGTTGACTATTTGTTTGGGCAAGTTTCGATTGATAAACCTTTTGTAGACTGGAGTGGTAATTGCGGCAATCTCACGGCTGCTGTGGGTGCATTTGCCATTAGGCAGGGTTTAGTCGATGCCCAACGTATTCCCCAAAATGGGTTCGCCACCATACGGATTTGGCAGTGTAATATTCAAAAAACGATTATTGCTCATGTACCTATAACCCAAGGTCAGGTTCAAGAAACCGGTGACTTTGAACTTGATGGGGTCACTTTTCCTTCGGCCGAAGTACAAATTGAATTTATCAACCCAGCCGATGAGGGGGAAGATGGTGCTGGCGGTGCCATGTTCCCAACAGGGCATTTAGTCGATGAAATAGCAATACCCGATCTAGGTACTATTAAAGCCACTTTAATCAACGCCGGCATTCCGACGGTTTTTGTAAATGCCTCAGACATTGGTTATAAGGGCACAGAACTACAAGATGACATCAATAATGATAACAAAGCCCTAGAACTCTTTGAAAAGATTAGATCTTATGGCGCCCTCAAAATGGGGCTCATCAAAGATGTGTCTGAAGCAGCCAGTCGCCAACACACCCCAAAAGTTGCTTTTGTAGCCCCGCCGGCATCCTATGTTTCATCTAGTGGAAAAACTGTTCTTGCCAGCGACATGGATCTTTTAGTACGCGCCCTGTCGATGGGTAAACTGCACCATGCCATGATGGGCACAGCGGCAGTGGCCATTGGTACAGCAGCTGCCATCCCTGGTACTTTAGTGAATTTGGCAGCAGGTGGCGGTGAACGAGAAGCCGTGCGGTTTGGTCACCCTTCAGGTACGTTACGTGTCGGTGCTCAAGCACAACAAATGGATGGAGAATGGACAGTGACAAAA